AGAGAGAGAGAGAGAGAGAGAGAGAGAGAGAGAGAGAGAGAGAGAGAGAGAGAGAGAGAGAGAGAGAGAGAGAGAGAGTACCCCACCATAACCACACTTTTTGATGAAGACAACGTTGAAGATGATATCATCCTATAAAATTAACCCTTATATGTTTATAAGTGCCCCCGTGTTTGAGAGGTCACCGTGATTATGCATAAGGATTAACCAAATTGTATCCTGAGAGAAAAGGGGGATTCCCTTTTTACATTTGCTCTTTAGAAAATTTCTATAGTCGGACGTTGGTCCTGGGCCGGGATTCAAGGTCCTTGTCCAGGACATCCCAAGCCCTAGACTCTGCAGGGAAGGAATCTGCCAAGGGACATGATTTACGAGGACACGGTAAGTTGATAATGACATCAATAAGAATATCGAGACACGAGAAGGAGGTCCGCCTGCATCAATTGAGGGAAGGGAGTGGGTAAAGGGACACATGCTTCGCCGCGTGGGGAGGGTTTGGGGGAAGTCAGGGGGGGCGCTTAAGGGCACCCGACATGGCAGAGCCATGTGTGTTGATTGTTTGGGTCATTGTATCCTTTTTTCCATTTTCTTATTTTATGTACGTGTGTGAGAGATAGAAGGGGGGGGGGCGAGGGGGAAGGGGAGGAGCAGGAAATGGTGGTTCCGTTTCTCTCTACTTCCTGACTCTGATTTGGGAAGGGAGCATAGGCAGGGCAACATCGTGAAGAAGTGGAGCCGGACATGACGGTGGGACATGATGATGGTGGATGACCAGGGATCATAATGCAGTGGGGAGGGAGAGGAAGCCGTGAGGGAGGCGGGTCAAGGGGAAAGAAAGATGGGTGTGGCAGTCAGGGATTTGAGGTCAGGGCAAATGAGAAGTGAAGCCATTTGTGGGGAGAAGTGCAGCCATTGTGGGGAGTTGGGATTAGGGGAAAGAGGGATTGGTGCACCATTGGAGGGAAAGGGGGGGGGGAGGCATGCCCCATGGCTCGGTTGTCTTTTTCGTTTTCTTTTTTATATTTGTTTTTTTTTGTGTGAGAGAGAGAGAGGGAGAGAGTGGGAGGGGAAAGGGGGGATGGAAGAGGGCTAGCAGGAAGTTGGGGGCAGGGGCTAAGGCGCGCGATCGCGTATGTAGCTGCCGCAACTCATTTTTGTTTTCTTTTTCTTTTCCATCTTGTGTGTTTGTGTGTGCGTGTGCGTGTGTGTGTGTGTGTGTGTGTGTGTCTGCGCCTGCCTCCTCGTGCCATCTCCTCTCCACCTCCTCCCACCTCTGCACCTCTGCTCACCTCCGTTCTGGCCTCCGTTCCGCTGCCCGCACATTCGCGCCATCCCTCTGCCCGCCTTAAAAAAAAAAAAAAAAAAAAGCCTACGCACGGCCAGCGCCAACATTCTGTCCACCTCCGCCCACCTCCCGCTCACCATTGGGATCGCCAATTTCCCTTCGGCTTCCACCCACCTCCCTTTCGCCTCCTCCCGTCATCTCCTCCTTGTGTCTGACACTTCTCCTCCACCTCCGCTCACCTCCGCTCTGGGAGACAGCAGACTGTCGGGTTTGAACCTCCTGATGAGTTGGTGAAAGTTCGACGAAACAGTCTGGCATGCACCTGCTTCCTTTGGTGGAGTTGTGTACAGCGAACATGGCGACACACACACACACACTTACACGGAAGCACTTACACACGTGCACACAAGAGAGAGAGAGAGAGAGAGAGAGAGAGAGAGAGAGAGAGAGAGAGAGAGAGCACCCCACCATAACCACATTTTTTTATGAAGGCAACGTTGAAGATGCTGAGGAAGACGAAAGATAAGGGACACGATTTATCCAGGACAATATAAGTTATGCCCTCCTTTATAAAAAAAAAGAAACGTTGCGCGCCCACCTCCCACAGCCAGCTCCAACCTCCTTTCCACCTTCGCCCACCTCCCTCCCGCCATTGGGATCACCAATCTCCCCCTAGCCTTCGCCCACCTCCTGTTCGCCTTCTCCCGCCATCTCCTCTGTCTCTTTCCTTTCTGCCTCCGCCTGATGGGGTTCAACCTCGTGATGAGTTGGTGCAAGTTTGAAGAAACATTCTGGCACGCACCTGCTTCTTTTGGTGGAGTTGTGTACAACGAACATGGCGACACACGCACACTAATGGTGGCACACTCACACACACACACACATGTGTGTGTGTGTGTGTGTGTGTGTGTGTGTGTGTGTGTGTGTGTGTGTGAGAGAGAGAGAGAGAGAGAGAAGGAAAAAGGGGAATACCAAACCATATCTGTTTTTGTGCTATGACGATTTCCGTGAAATTACAAGTACCTACGCAAATTAATACAATAATTATAATAAGACCAATAAAAACTTTATAAGAAACCATTTGAGCAACAGATCGTAGTGCTCCTAGAAAAGCATATTTGGAATTACTGGACCAACCTGCTGTTGAGAGAGAGAGAGAGAGAGAGAGAGAGAGAGAGAGAGAGAGAGAGAGAGAGAGTACCCCACCATAAGCATGCTTTCTGATGAGGATGCGTGCATCAATTGAGGGAAGGGGGTGGGTAAAAGGACACATGCTTCGCCACGTGGGGAGGGTTTGGGGGAAGTCAGGGGGGGACTTAAGGGCACCCCATGTTGATTATTTTGGTCATTGTCTCCTTTTTTCCATTTTCTTATTTTGTACGCGTGTGTGAGTGATAGACAGGGGAGGGCGAGGGGGAAGGGGATGGCCAGGAAATGGTAGTTTCGGTTCTCTCTACTTCCTAACTCTGATTTGGGAAGGGAGTGTACGATGAGCAACATCGTGAAGAAGTGGAGTCGGACATGACGGTGGGACATGATGATAGTGGATAACCAGGGATCGTAATGCAGTGGGGAGATCGAGGAAGCCGTGGGGGAGGTGGGTCAAGGTGAAAGGAAGATGGGTGTGGCAGTCGGGGATTTGAGGTCAGGGCAAATGAGAAGTGCAGCCATTTGTGAGGAGAAGTGCAACCATTATGGGGAGTTGGGATCAGGGGAAAGAGGAAAGGGTGCATCATTTGAGAAAGACATGCCATGTGGCTCGGTTGTCTTTTTCGTTTTCTTTTTTATATTTGTTTTTGTGTATATGAGAGAGAGAGAGGGAGGTAGTGAGAGGGGAGAGGGGGGAACGGAGAGGGTTAGCGGGAAGTTGGGGGGAGGGGCTAAGGCGTGCGATCGCATAACGTGCTGCCGCACATTGTGCGATCTCATTTTCGTTTTCATTTTCTTTTCGTCATTAATACTTGTGCATTTGCTCGTGTGTGTGTGCATTTGTGTGTGTGTGTGTGTGTGTGTATGTGTGTGTGTGTGTGTGTGTGTGTGTGTGTGTGTGTGTGAGAG